AACTACGCCACCCATACGTGCCCACTGTGCGCCATCTGCCGCCACAGAAGTACGCACTGGCGCAAATGGTCATGTTATCGGCGCAGTTCTCAATTAGCGCCACGATGCTAGACGTTGCGCGATAACATACGCAAGTCGCCTGCTTTGTCCTCCGAGAGAAATTTTCCTATCACCGAGAAAGAATGTTTAGCTTCAATTAGGGCTGTAAAAAAGTTCCAGCAATATTTTTATGAGTAGGAGACTGACTCGGAAGAATAGACAGATATATTTACAGCCGGTTAAGTGAGCAGCGCCAGCCACACAGATTAGCTCGTGGCAGTCTACCTGCTTTGTCCTGTGAATCTCCATGCCACTGGCACTTATCATGAGCCCCGGCCACGGGGCACCATCCCAGTGCTTATCATTATAGTTATGTCGTTATCTGATGTACTCTAGTGGGGCTTGATCCACGAGACGTGGACAATATCATTGGACAGCACAGCAGATGATATTCGATAGATGAGGCGGATCTTATAGATTACAGGTGTTCCTTGACGCAATGCACTGTAAGATCCCGAGTACTGAGAAAAAAGTTTTTCTGATAGGCCCACCTGATGATGAGTGGACAAGACTAAAATGAGGGCACCGGGAACGAAATCTACGTCTCAATGTTTCGCATTTTACCGACGGCGTTGGTTGGTCTGCAACGCCATCAGCCGAGCACAGGTGTGCTGACGGGTAGGATCGTCTCGCGCACAAGCTTCCACCGAGCGCTACATAAGCTATATTCAAGATGTCCTCACCCTATGCGACACGACCGATGAGAACATGTCGCAGCCTGAAAAAAAATGCGCATATACTAAATGGTATTGCCGACGATGCATTTACCTTTTTGGTATTCAACAATGTGTCAAAAGCAGGCACATCTCTCCTAAGTTCCAGTGCTCTCCGAATAAGGCCACGACGTCCTCTTCTCTCAACAGATATCGTCCACCAGACAGCTGTGCCAACTTGACGCGACTCGTCAGGCAAGAAATTCAAGCGGCCATTCCAGCTACGTTGGTTAGCCAGCACCTTCACTTAATTTGTTACAGGAAGACCGACTAGAAAGTGTAGACACAGATATAAACCAGCCGGCTAAGCGAGCGGCGGCAGTCACACAGATTAGCTCGCACCAGTCTATCTGCTTTGTCATCTTCATCGCCATGCCACTGGCACTTGGGAATATTTATATGAGCGTATTTTCTCCGTCGGTGAATCAGGATGTCGCGAATCATGTATAAACATCCTAGAAGAAAAAAATTGCCCGCAGCTTCCCTCGGGGGAACACTGAGGAGGATGCGGACCATATAATTGGTTAACGGGGTGTTAAAGTGCGACTTGCTTGGGTCGATGGCTAAATTGGTTAACGTGGTTGTGAAATGGGGTGTTAAATTGCGACTTACTTGGGTCGATGGCTAAATTGGTTAACGTGGTTGTAGGAGGGGGTGTTAAATGAGTGAACACGTACACACGTATGCGAAAGGGCGGCGCTGGTCGAAGGGACGTCGATCATTGTGTTTGTGGATTCGTTGGAATTCATTTCACCGCGACCTTGGACGTCGACGCGCCGTACAAACCAACCGACGAGCGGCAACTGAGCGAGCGAGCGCCGACCTTGAGTATATATACAGCACGACGGCGCATGCACTGTCAGCTGTTGAATGTTCTCGAAGCGCGACGCCACATGCGCGTCCACTGGAGAATCAGAATTGTAGATGTCGAACGCGGTGTGTAGAGGAGGAAGGGTGCACAGATGGTGGAGGAGTGAAGCGCGCGCGGTGTGTAGAGGAGGAAGGGATGCACAGATGGTGGAAGAGTGGGCGACGGCGCGACGGCGCATGCGCGCGCGTCAGCTGTCGAATGTTCGAGAAGCGGTGCGGACGGCGCACTACAAGGCGCGAGTATAAGATGCTCCGCATCTAATATACAGGGGATCATTTGCTACTGTAGCGGCCGGGAATGTCGGCTGCCGGAGGCAGCGAGAAAGGAGACGTGAAGCTGGTTTGGAGTTGCAGGGCAAGACTGACTATTTCCACTCCTTGCGAGTGACGAGAGCTCCCCTCGACGAGGGAGAGAAGGAGGCACCCCCGTGTTCTTCTACCAGAAAGAGGAAAAGGGGGCCCCCGAGCGAGCAGACGTAGCATGCCACCGGTGCTAATCCCCGGAGCCGGCCACGACAACACGTTGTTCCCCGAACACGGCGGAGGAGGCGCTGGCGCCGCGAGTAGGCGCGCTGTCGACGGCCGGCTGCAGACGGGATAGAAAAGAATGCGGTGGTGCTGAGCAGCTTCCGCTACACTACCATTGTGCTCCATAAACAAAGCAACCAAACAACGATCAAGCAGAGTGTAAGGCAGGGGTATACAAGCTCTTCAATGCTATTTACCGCGTACACACAGGAGGTTTTCAGAGGCCTAGAATGAGAACAGTTAGGCATAAAGGTTAATGGAGAGTACCTTAGTAACCTGCGCTTCGCCGATGGCATCGCATTGCTGAGTAACTCAGGGGACGAATTGCAACTCAAGATTACGGAGTTAGACAAGGAGAGCATAAGAGTAGGTCTTAATCTGCAGAAAACAAAAGTAATGTAGAACAACCTGAGAAGAGAACAACGCTTCGAGATGTTGAGCCTTTTTGTGTTAAGATATGTTCATGTACTGTCACTAACTAGCTCAGCTGTCAGCCCTTCTGCTTTTTTTAATCCAGTTAGGAATCGCATGGCACCAGGATTCAAACCACAGACCTCTTGCACGCGAGCCTAATACTCCAACCAATACGCCATTGCTTCTCTCTTAGCAACGCATATGTTGCAGTTTTTGTTTCGTTTTCTTTTGCTGGCAAGACAGATGCAGGTATTTAGCATTCTACAATCAGCAAATATTATTTAGGGTCAGGATATGACAAGCGGATAACTTTCATTGAGAACCTACTCGTAAAAAAACAACATAATTATGGAATCCCGGCTGCGGCAACTGCAATGGTGTACCTGGCGCTCCGATTTGTATATTGCCCCGCCGCGGTAGTCTAGTGGCAAAGGTACTCGGCTACTGACCCGCTTGTCGTGGGATTGAATCCCACCTGTGGCGGCTGCATTTCCGAAAGAGGCGGAAATGTTGTAGGCCCGTGTGCTGATTTGGGTGCACGTTAAAGAAACCCAGGTTGTAGAAATGCCGGAGCCCTCCACTACAACGTCTCTCATAATCATATGATGGTTTCGGGACGTTCAATCGCACGTATCAATAATCAAAAAACATGAATTCCTAGGTTGCGCGGGAGGTTCCACCTCTCGCAAAATATTGCCCCCTTAAGTGTCCCTTATTTCAACTCTTCGCATGCTTATGCAATCTGCATGGGCCATGCCTAGTGAAATGCTTCCGTGAAGAGATTTCTCACAAATTGGTGTGTGAGTGCATCGTTTCTGGCTCTAAGCAAGAAAGAAAGCACATACCAAAAAATATGTTCATAGAACCGTTTGGATAAGTATGGCACGTGTGGGTTGCATAAGCATGTCACGTTTATCAGTGACGTTTATGCGGTATGTTTGAGTGTTATTTTGCGTGTTGCGCAGCCTCTTGTGCAAGTTCTGTGTTCATGTTTTTGTTTCTGTGAGTAAATGCTCAGTTAAAGTTATGCGCTCCATCCAGGCGATTGTCTTTACCTTGCCCTTGGCTTTTTTCTTTTTGCGTCAATAGTGAAAGAAAAAACTGTGACGAAGCATTAATCCAATTGACAAAGATGCAGCTTCTCTGGTGAGAAGCGCAAACGAAAGTACACTCACACACACATCAGCTTTTTTGTGGATGCAAAACGCCTCATATCTATCACTGTGTTGTCGAAGTATATTGATCAAGCATAGCAAGACCCACGCATTGTTGTTTTTTCAGACGCCTAAAAATATTGCGTAAACTAATACTCGGCCTCACTGTTCCCCTTTCCCTTCTTTTGTGTTGCGTGTGCTATAAATACCACCGTGTATGGAGTAAAACCTTGATTGTAAGTGAGGGCTTCGTTCGTCTCTATCAATGTCTTTTGTTTCGCTCTGTTTTTCGCTTCGTTTATCATGTACCAATCGGCCAAGGTAAGCATTTTAGTACAGTTCGCACATACTAAATATATAGTTCATCATTCGAAAGTGGATTATAAGAGTTGTAGTCGGTGCCCCGCACTCTTCACTGGGCGCAAATGAAGGTGGTTGTACTGATGAAAGTGAATCAGTGGCTCTCGGAACGTAATTTGGTAAATTTAGGTCTGGGTCGCAATCGAGCCCAGCCTGCAGCGTCACGAGACAAGGACGCTTTCACCATGGTCGGAAGCTTTAATTCGCCCTGTGGTTCGGGCTTTGCAGGCGTGGTCTCACGAGATCCTGCAGCCACGGCTTCTTTACGGCAAGCCTGTAGGCGGGAATTTAATTGGGGGGCATGGGCGGAGGGGACACTTCGTTGTATAAAAATACCTGCTTTCACTGTTTACTTTCGGTGCCACCAAAAAGAGGGAGGGGGGGGGCACAAGCCTCAGCTTTGCTGGCTTACGGCTAAATTTAAAGTGCCGATTTGACTCACAACAGCCGCTTATTCTAGGCCCTGTCTTCGCCGGAGATCGCATTGTTCTAGATTCCGCGAAACTCCGGGCTGTTGCTGTCTCAAAGCATTAAAACTATTAGTTCTCCCGTGTTCTTTTTGCTCGACGCACATCGTAAGGTTTTTTTTTGCGTTTATCTCGCTTCATACAGCCACCATTTTTCAGTAGTGCCTCTACCTCACATACATTATTGCTTCGTATGTCACTAACTTTGCTTTTATTGCTCAATTGTGACCACCAAGTGTACTGTATTTTGTCCTTTTGGGTAGTTATTTTCATCTGATTCACTTTTTGTGAAGTTTTTATTAGTATTACTGCCACCTCTGAGTATCAACAAACCATCTGTTACTTTCGAAACACTGAGGAACGTTTGTATTGACAATGAATGTGCTTATTTTCAGGGTGCCTATGATTCCGAAACACATGTGTACAGGCCCATTGACGTAAAATATGTAATCTACAAGGCTGCATCCAGAGGCATTCGCGTCATGGTTGAATTCGATACACCTGGTGAGAAATTTAATAATCTTTTGTCTTTCACAATGTTAAATCGTTCAAACTACAGATGACATTTTTCGCAAATCCTATCAGCCTTTGTTATAGACAATTCGTTCACCTAAATATTATCATCAAACGCATCCCCCTCTTCTTCATGCCTTATCATCACCACAATGAACGTATGCGCTATCTGTTCTCGGGCCAAATAAACGTCTACCAAACCAATACGTAGTGCTCTTCTGTCGCTCTCCTCTGCAACTTACCCAGGCCTCCGCTTGTGTCATCGTAAATGTGGCAGCACCAGCGCGTTGGCCGTCTCTGTTGCGGTACCAAAAGCCACGTCTCTTCACATCATCAACAGACATTAGCTCAGATTTCATATAATTTGGCGCTCAAAGTGTGTTCCTTTTAATTACTGGTAATACCCCAAAACCGGTGTCGCTATACATGAGCTCAGTATCAATAGAAACGACAGGTCATGCATTGAATATACAAAAATATACGTTTCATACCATGGTATATGCGAGATTGTACATTCATTCGTACATGACTAACAAGCGATACATATTAAACTAAATCGGACGGTATGATATACTTTATTTGCCTCAAAGAAAAACAACGTTATCTATGCAGCAGCTTGTTTGCTTTTTCGCACTACATTAACTCCCAGAGCATGTGGGATCTATCGAATTCTTGTTTTTTTCTTAGCCAAAGTTTACCATGTGTATTATGTGTGGAAATGTGTATTAGGTGGCAGTGTTCAAGTGCCTTCAAGTAAAGATGGATTTTTTTATATACTGATAATATGCAGCAACGTTAGTGTACCGTTCCTCAACTCCACTGGAATGCATCTTCGAATGTACTAAAGGTGGTTCTGCTCAAGTGCATGCTGTTGCGTGCATTTCTGCTCACTGGACCTGGTCTTCGGTCTTAAAGGGGCCTTGAATCTCTTTTTCGAGTAACCATAGAATTAATTCACTGGAAAAGCGTATTGCCTCGCAAGTTCGACGCCGCAAAATTGTTAAGAATCCGTCCAGTATGAGCGGAGTTACAAAGGCTTGTCACACGCTGCAATCACATTCTTTCTTCTCTCGTTTCGAGGAAAGCACTGGAAGCTAAGTAGAAAGTTACGCGAAGGGCAAACAACAAACTTCATGGACGCCTTGTGACCTTGACCACTTGACTCTTTTTTTTTCTTTAAATACGTGGCTTTTTTCAGTGCGATTGTGCGCGGGCGCGTTGACAAGTGACGGTTTTCCGCGCCGATCTCTGTAATAACAGAGTGCGCCAGTTCAAATCAGATAAAGGCTGATAGATAGGCTTACTACGAGTGATGTCTGGCCTTATTGCGTGATTTGTCGAAAGAATAGAAATCAATTTTTAGCTGACTTTGATCAGTTATTGTGAATTCTAGGCCGCGTGCTGCGCTACAATATTTGGCTCGCGTATTGTCGGGGGCCTTCACTACCGATCGGCCGCATTTCCTGACTATGCCCATAAAGTGTTGCAGGGCTTCTTAAACGCGGTTTCTGATGCTTCAAAGAACTACAGCCACTTAGGTATCTCTCTGTATTCCTTTCAGCGGTATGGTGAGTCCTTGTCATGCAATATCCAACCACATGACTCCTCCTTCGAAGTCAAACGATCTATATGAACAGCTCTTCAATAATTGCTCATCACTACATAAGTTCCGAGCATGCGTAAAATGCCAGAAATTTTCCATTTTATTTATTTATATATTGGTGCCACTGTTGTACAGAACGACATTAAAAAACAATGTTCCAGGAACATTTTGGAAGGAACGGAAGCCACCATTTTAATCAGGAATGGTAAAACTGTAACGGTAACTCAATACGTTCACTGAGGAACAACCGAGGGAACTGCGTTCCTCTGTGAACGTTCCACAGTATTGAACAAAGGCACGCACTCGCCTCACCATGCATGCATAGCAGGGTGGATGAATGAAACGCGTGATAGGCAGCATTATACCACTCGCCTGTAACCCGATCATGCTGCATTCTGTTATTTCGCTTCAAGTCACACGCCGTGGGCGCTGGTAAGCGCGCAACAGTGGACCACGACAACGCACGAAAGTAGCAGCTGTTTTTCTGTGGCAGAGTTGTTATGCTCAAAGTTGTGCATGTGTCGTGTAAAGCCAATTATCATCATCATGAATTATTTTCCTTTGTTTCGATCTTACAGCAAGTGTGTCGATTTGACCAGCGTGGGGTGCGACAACTCAGATGCACGCATTAATGAGTACACAGAAAGGGGCAAAACGTGCGAGAGAGAAAAACTGAAACAATGAAAATTGTGGCTAGATGATAATGATACCCATAATTCGGAAGCAAAGTCGTAACTGCTCCGCTGCCCAGAGACACAACGACGAAAATAAAACAATCACATTTCACTGCATAGCGAATACATCAATAAACGACCTTTTCCGATATATCGTAGTAGTATGGAAAGTGGGGGGATTTGGTTTGAGGACATCCTTGTAATTTCAGCGAGCGCATCAAAATGTTTATAAGAATGACTTTTAACAAGTTTACAAAGCAATAGCGATCACTAATGATGTATACATTCTGGTGGTTTGTCTTGTAGACGAGTAATCGTCACGAAAAATTGGGCTGTTCAGAAAATTATTTACTCTGCGTTTCTCTTCAACATTTACGCACAAATAGAAGGGCATATCATAGCCTTGTGTAGAAAGGGGTCTATAGAAGAGTAGAAAATAGCAAGTGGGTGGGAAAATAATATCAGGCTTGGAAAAAAATGAGAACAAAAGCATAAAGGAATCAGACAAAAAGAAATAGACAATTAGAATGAGATAGAGAAACCAGCAAAAATGTGAAGAAATATGGAAACAAATATTCAGAAATTTCTTCGCTGACTTTCGAGCTGGAGACTTATCGAAGTTCCAAATGTGCGTCCTTGACTTCCTTTTACAGTGGTACTGCCGTTACGCTCAAGTTTAACTGGCTTTCATTAAGCGTCTATTGTTCCTTTCAATCCAAGTTTCTGGGTACGAAAATAACCGTATAAGTGCATGTGGTAATATTTATGTTTGAATAGTCAAAGCGCGGCACCTGGACTACGCATTTGAAGACCGCCGAGAAAAGTGCCTCACGTGTTGATTTAGGGATAGAAATTCGCTGTTAGACATGTCTGTAGTATGAAGGTGGTCTGAAATATTTCTACAGGGGGTTTCCATATTCCTTTCTTAGACACGTAATCAGTTTTCGGTAGCGTAAAATCTGTAAACATTTGTAGGCACTTGTGCGCTTTCAAACGCTCACTTTATTTCGTCTCGCGAATATGAGTCATTATGTTTTGAATAAAAAGTGAATGTAACCTTATTGTGACGACGCGTTGCAATTTTGGAAATGTGACTTTAACAAGTTTCTTTTAAAAATAAAAGAACTTGTAAAGTGAACTCATACAAAACTGTGGAGGAATGCGGAACGCGCCTTCGCTATTATTTTAGAGAATCACGTAAAACACTGGCTGGTGCTTTTGCTTTATCTCTGTAAGCGTGTCGGTAGCAGAAAATAGCTTTTGCAGATAACAAATTGAAGTGATTTCGAAGATATTGAGAAGCTTTGCTGGCTCTTTCACCACACGACAGGCCACACTCTTTCCTGGGGCATGGCATACCCCGAGCTGCTGACCACGTGTTATGACGGTGATGTTCCCAATGGGGAGCTTGGGCCTGTTGACCCAACGCGCAATGAGACGTACATTTTTATGAGTCGCTTTTTCATGGAGGTGGCACACGTGTTCCCAGACCAGTATGTGCATCTGGGAGGAGATGAAGTCAGCTTCGACTGCTGGTAAGTGACATGCACTGAAATCGGCATCGATTACATTACTGTTTCCGATTGTAAGTGCAATTCTCCCGTAGAAAAGGCGGTAGCTGTTAAAACTCGGGACTTTATCGACCATACTTACGTCGAGTGATGCAGTTAACGCCCGACATGTCAGGAAGCAGCATTAAAAAACACAGTGATTAGCGGCAAGCCTGGCCTTTGGTTGCTAAAAATCACAACTTCAGCTAAACGCATCGGCTTTTATACCTGTGTCATCGTGCGATCCGGCCTGATGGCAGGTGCTCTCGCAGATACTAGAATCTACTTTCATCTGTAATGTGAGCGCAGACACGCGAGTAATTGGCAGATAGCCTCACACCCGAATTCGAAAGATGCCAGGATTGCGCTGTAAAAAAGCATGATAGAAACAGTGGACCTCCTTGCCCAGAAGGGTCACCCCTACCATGCGTCTTGTTTTAGGATGCACTTAACGTATGTCCGTGATAACAACTTTCGACTCAAGTGATAAAACTTAATTTGATATCGAAAGTATCAACGAGTTCATGACTCATACTCGTAAGGTGAACTGAGAGCGCGAGAACATACGACGGAAAAACCACCCAACACAAACGCTAGGTTAGGGAGGGGGCGTTAGGAGGTTTATAAAGAGCAACAATTACGCAAGGACAGCCATACGGCGTTGATATACACCAAATGCTATTGTTATCAAGACAGTAGGGTAATGTCACAAGCTGAATATCTTTTTTTTTTGTAGACAATCGCTACTCCATCACCACGAGTTCTATGATGCTTACGGATTATTCTATAGGAGCGGGTGTTGTTTTGCTGTTGGCTATGACTGGTGTAACCAGATTGCAGCCGCAATAACAACATGCAGATTATACAAAAACGAAACTTTTCAAATTCAGTAGATTTCATCACCACACGTCACATTGATGTTGATCATGGTGAAATCTCGAGTTCGGTTTCTACATTTTTCATCAGACTCAGGTGAAATTGTACTTTTTCTTGCCTATTCTTATTCTACAGGACTGATCATCATTCCAGCTCACGACTCGTTATCAATCACAATCATCATAATCAATAAGCCGATCGAACTCTTTCAACTTTGGCACTTTCCCACAACTTTTCCGCTTTCGCTGCGTGTTTCCACAAAAGTCGTCTCGTACCGAAAACCACGTTCCTTTCAACTTCATGCAGAATTTCAAACTAAATTATAAGCATTTCTTTGCGTACTGAAGCCCCTTACAGTATCTCTCACTATCGTGTGTGGTCGTTGGGCCATTCTGACAGACCGAGCTTAACGAGAAGAATCATACTAAGTTTATTCTGCTATGCTTTATATAGGCATGCGGAACGGGTGAGGGTAACCTTTATATAAATTGATTGATCGACACATGTAGTACATACTGTAGCGATATCATCTGATAGAATCTTTTTTGTGATAGTAACAAAACAGAACAGTTAAAATTTTCTAACGGGGAGTTACAGGGCCCAGCAGTGTACAGAAGATTGATATGTGAGGTTTAACGTTCTAAAACCACAATATGATTATGAGAGACACCGTAGTGAAGGGCTCCCTAAATTCTAACCACCCAGGGTTATTTACCGTGCACCGAAATCCGAGCACACAGGCCTACAACATTTCCGCCTCCATCAGAAAGGCAGCCGCCGCAGATGAGATTCGATTCCGCGACCTGCGGGTCAGCAGCCGAGTACCTTAGCCACTAGACCACCGTAGTGAGGCAGTGCACAGAAGAGGCATCATTCAATGCACGCCACTGGAAAGCTGATTACGGCACTTGCACCAAGTTTCTGTCGTAGGTCAACTTCTGTGGTGGCCGCCGCTGTCTTGTAGGACTTTGCAAAGTTGTGATGCTTGCCGCATTGTGTGCGTGGATATTTCCGATTGCGGAAATAAGTGCGCTTTCGAAAGATTTTACGGGCTGAAAGTAAATGCTGGCTGTTGCGGCAGAAAAACCTTCCTTTCTCTGTGAGAATATGATATGCGCTTTGTCTCGTCTCTCTTATTTCCTCCTGTCGTTTGTGCTGTTAAGGAATATTTATCACGACTTGGAAGTATTGTATGGCTTGAAGACTAGTGCTTTCATCGACCATGACCCTCCTTTATCTCGAACGATGTCACCTGCTCCCAGCGGCGCTAGCGCCATCGCGGAGGCATTGCTCTGGCGAAAATTTCGGACCACACGTTCTGGAACGGAATGGACATCCGGCCGCGTCGTTCGCCGTCACTTTCCTTGTGTAAAGAGATTTATTGGGCGAACCAAACGGGCAGGTGGGAGATTCGAGATAGCGACAGGACGAGGAAGATAGAGGAGCTCGAGCGCCGATCTCGTGGTGGCTTACTCTGCGATGACGCTTGCCGTTCTTTTTTGTTGTCATCATTCCTTCTTTATAATTGCCCCCATCGAGAAAGATCAAGCCATCCTGGCGATCTAACAGGTGGGAACGAGCGGGTCAAAGTACGGCTTCAAGCGGTCCATGTGAACAATATCGTGTCTACGCTGACGATGGTCACCGGGTGGCGTAAGCGGTTCAATGGCGTAATTGACGGGCGATGTGCGCTCTACCACGCAGTATGGACCATGGTAATTTGAAAGTAGCTTAGTAGACAAACCAGGTGCACAGGGTGGTACATACAGCCATACAAGGGTTCCAGGGGCGAACTTTGCGGCAGGAGGGTGGTCGTCACCGCAGGTCTTTTTCTGGCGTTGCTGGTCAGCCGTAGTAAACTGCTTCGCTAGTTGGCGGCATTGTTCGGCGTGACGGGTGGCTTCAGACACGGTCGTGCACTCAGATACATCTGGTGCGTATGGCAGCAAAGGGTCAATTGTGTGCGATGGTTGACGTCCGTATAGAAGGTAGAATGGAGAAAAGCCGGTGGTGACTTGGGTAGCGGTGTCGTACGCGTAGGTCGCAAACGGAAGAACCTGGTCCCAGTTCGTTTGGTCAGATGCCACATGCGTCGCGAGCATGTCACCCAGGGTCCGATCAAACCGCTCAGTTAGGCCATTTGTCTGAGGGTGGTAAGCAGTACTCATCCGGTGTACAATATGGCACTGACGCAGAAGTGCTTGGATTACGTCGGATAGAAATACACTACCTCGGTCACTGAGGAGCTCGCGAGGAGGGCCGTGCCGCAACACAAACCGAGGGAGGATGAAAGATGTGACGTCCTGAGCGGTCACCGTAGGAAGAGCAGTGGTTTCGGCGTACCATTTCAGGTGATCTACAGCAACGATAGTCCACCGGTTACCTGCTGTGGTCGATGGCAGTGGTCCATAAAGGTCGATTCTGACGTGATCGAATGGGCGATCAGGGCACGCAAGCGGCTGTAGTGGAGCTGCTCCTACATTCGGTGGCTGTTTTCGTCGCTGACACTCGTGGCAGCCGCGAATAAACTGTCGAACAAAAGTAAACATCCCACGCCAGTAGTACCGCTTCCTTAAACGTTCGTAGGTCTTGAAGACACCAGCGTGAGCGCATTGCGGGTCGGAGTGAAATGATGCACAGATTGTAGAGCGCAGCTTTCGGGGAATAACGAGCAGCCACTTCCTGCCGTCTGGTGAGTAATTGCATCGGTACAAGAGGCCACCTCGAATAGTAATGTGCAAAGCCTGGCGTCGCATTGCTCGAGTGATGGGAAGTGTCGGTACCCCAGATAAGACGTCCAGAAGCGAAGTTATCCATGGATCATCGCGCTGTGCAGATATTATTGTGTCGATGTCAAGAGCGGACAGCACGTGTTTGATAGAAGATATAGAGGCAGCCTCAGTCGGCAGTGGTGATCTCGAGAGCGCATCAGCATCGGCATGTTGGCGGCCAGAACGGTACACGACGCGGATGTCATACTCTTGAAGTCGCAGAGCCCAACGAGCATGGCGACCTGATGGATCCTTCAGCGACGACAACCAACATAAGGCATGATGGTCGGTAACTACAGCAAAGGTGCGGCCATATAAATATGGGCGAAATTTCACAATTGCCCAAAGTATGGCTAAGCACTCTTTGTCGGTAGCACTGTAGTTTACCTCAGCCTTGTTGAGCGTTCTGCTGGCGTAAGCGACGACATACTGAGGGGATCCAGGCTTGCGTTGAGCGATAACTTCACCGAGACCGACACCACTTGCGTCTGTATGGACTCCAGTTGCAGCCGTGGAATCATAGTGGCGCAATATGGGCGGTGATGTCAGGACATGGCGAAGAATGGTAAGTGCGTGATCACATTTGGAAGACCATGATGAGATGTCATTAGCACTGCTTAAAAGTTGGGTCAAAGGGGCAATTATGGTGGCAAAGTTGCGCACAAACCGACAAAAGTAGGAGCACAATCCTACGAAGCTGCGTAACTGTTTTACATTCGTTGGTTTGGGGAATACAGCAACAGCGCGTAGTTTAGCCGGGTCGGGAAGAACACCATCCTTTGATACGACGTGACCGAGAATGGTGAGCGTCCGAGCAGCGAAGTGGCATTTCTTGAGATTCAGTGGGAGCTGCGCATTCTTCAGACTCGTGAGGACATGTTTCAGGCGTACAAGATTGTTGCGAAATTGGGTGCAAAGACGACGATATCATCGAAGTAGCAGAGGCATATGTTTCATTTCAAACCCCGCAGAACCGAGTCCATCATGCGCTCGAATGTGGCCGGCGCACTGCAAAGGCCGAAGGGCATGACTTTGAACTAATATAGCCCGTCCGGTGTCACGAAGGCTGTTTTTGGACGATCACCATCTGCTAAGGGCACCTGCCAATACCCTGAACGCAAATCTAACGACGAAAAAAACTCGGCACCTTGTAAGCAATCAAGGGCGGCATCAATCCTCGGCAAAGGGTATAAGTCTTTGCGAGTGATCTTATTTAAGCGCCTGTAAACAACGCAGAAGCGAATTGTACCATCCTTTTTCTTAAAAAGAACGACAGGTGATGCCCATGGACTTTCGGAAGGTCGGATAACGTCACGCTTTATTGTCAACGTGTTCGGT